CTGTCCTCGCTGTCACTGGGAAACCGTGGCAGGAGTGGCCCAGGGAGCTCTCTCGGCATCGCTGCGGGGTCTCGCTCAGCCGGGGCAGGGAGAGGGGATGGCGGGTGGCCACGGTGCCCCTGGGGCCAGGGCAGCTGAGGGTCAGGCAGGGCGGCACCTCCGCAGCATCTATCTGGGGCACAGGGCAGGCAGGACCTGGCAGCCCACCCATGTGCGGTGGAAAAGGGAGACCTGGGAGCCGCTATGAAAAAGCGCAACAGTGTGAAGCAGGTGGGAAGGGGAAGGAATGGCGGCTGAGAGAGGAGGTAGGGCTGTTCTGAAGGGTTCTCCTTTCCTGCAGCGTATTTGCTGTTGTCTGGTTTAAGCACTGTTGTGTGAGGAGTCTGGGGGACAGAGCAGGCAGGGAAGGAGGCTCCCGGGGGAAGAGAGTGTGAGTAATGTCCCAGGACTGTGCTGATCCCAATCTCTCTGTCCACAGAGGGCTTGAAGAAACTCTTCTCGGGAGCTACGATGGCATCCAGCCGAGGAGCCCTAGTCACCGTTGGGCAGGTAGGACAGTTCTGCTGGGCAGTAGGTGCCCGGGGTAGGGACAGGCGTAGTTCCTGGCGTGGCAGCGAGGGGGGGATGTGTCACTAATACCCTGTGTCTCCACAGCTCTCCTGTTATGACCAGGCCAAGCAGCTGGTTCTCACAACTGGGTTGCTGTCAGACAACATCTTCACTCATTTCCTGGCCAGCTTCATCGCTGTGAGCAGGGCTGGGTGTGGGGAGGCAGGGCTGGGACTGGGTTTGCCGGCCGCTAGGCTCAGGACCCCAGGCTGGGGCTGGCAGAGCTGCCGCTCAGGACTCTGATGCAGCAGAGATGGGCACAGAGGCTCCGGTGGGGCTCCCGGCCTGGGGTTGGGCCCAGGCAGGGCTCTGGGTCCCTCCAGTGACTGTGTCAGTCACTGGCACCTGGGTCTCCTCCACGAGCCAGAGCTGCTGACCCCTGCTGACTCCCCCCAGGGTGGATGCGCCACATTCCTGTGCCAGCCCCTGGACGTGCTTAAGACCCGTCTCATGAACTCCCAGGGCGAGTACCGGGTGAGTCACCTGTCCTGCCCACCTCGCTGCTGCCGGTCCTGTCCCCTTTGCGCACTGGTCTCAGCCTCCCTGCACCTCCTCATCTCTCTCCCTCTCACTCCAGGGTGTTACTCACTGTGCCATGGAAACTGCCAAGCTCGGCCCCCTCGCCTTCTACAAGGTACCTAACTGGGGGGGTGTGGGACGTGCTGGTAGGGCAGAGTGTGGGGAGACTGGTCGGGAGCGGAGCTTAAGGTCCAGAACGGTTCTGGGGCAGGAGCCTTCCAGGCTCTGTTGCCGGCAGCCTGAGCGGTTCCTGCATCAGGCCTTTGTCTGCCAGTTCCCGGCTTGGCCCCGGCGTATCGCCAGCCTCGGCCTCTTCTGGGCTTGCAGCCTGGGTCCGGGCACCGCAGCAGCTGCCCTGTTGCACCCATTGGATTCCCAAATGGGAATGCAGGTACAGGCAGTGGTGCTCCAGCACTCGTTGGATGTTACTAACCAGCAGACGCTGGTCAGCTCTTGGGCCCTATGTGCCAGGGCTTGGTGCAGTCACCCGTGTGTTCAGTCTCGCTCCTGGGAGGGCCCCTGCAAAGGGGTTTCACACCCAAGGGTTCTTCCAGATGCTGCCAGTCAGGCATTTTCCCCATTACAGCCTGTCGGCTCACCTTCCCCAGACAGCGTCCAGCCCCCTTCTGAACCAGGGGCTGTGGGATCTGACCCGGGCTTCTACCGAGATTCTGCCTACGTGGTGGTGATGCTGGCACTGATGTGTTGGGGGCAGAGGGGTTGATGCATGATGCTGAGATCTGTGTGCACAGTGATGGCTGCGGTGTCTCCCTCACCGCTGTGGCAGCTCGTGCTGCATGCCCAGCCAGCCGCTTCCCCACGCTTGCAAGCTCGTGCCGCTCCCCGTGGGTTGGGCTGCTGGCCACCCTTGGCCCTGGCAGGGAAGCCCAGGGCCAGGCACATGCTGACTCTGCCCGTTGTCACTGTCCCCTTCCAGGGCTTCGTTCCTGCTGCCATCCGGCTCATTCCTCACACCGTCCTCACCTTTGTCTTCCTGGAACAGCTGCGCAAATATTTTGGGATCAAAGTGGTCACCTGAGTAGGAGGGACAGGACCCTGCCTCGCCCTGGGGGGGTGAGCGTGTGGGTCACCGCTGAGATCCCAGAACCCCTCTCCCCTGTCTGGGGCCAGCGCTGCTCCCTCCACCCCTCATCCCCACTCCTGTGCCTTGCCAGTGCCTGTGGCCAGCCAGTCCCAGACTCCCCCTTCCTCTCTCACCCCACTTCTCAGCACCTCTGTTACCTCTGAGGTATTCTTTAGCCTCTTTTCCCCTCTGTACTGTTGGTTTGGGTTTGGGTTTTTTTTGCTGTCTTCCCACTGCTGTACTGGCCACGAGTTCTGCCCTTACCTCCCTCAGCACCGTCCCTGACTCTGCTGTCCTGGGGAGAATGGGGGATCCAGCCTTCGGCTCCGTGCCTGGTCACAGAGCCTTACGGGGCTGGTGGGGACACTTCCACTTGTGCCCGCGCTGCAGCGGGGCGGGGGGGCTGCCAGCCTCTGCTGCAAGCAGCAAGGGGAGACGCAGGTTCAGCACGGCAAGGCCCCATCCTCCCTCAGTGCCTCTGGCCCCATGTGCTCCTCCGCTGGCCCCAGGGCAGCCTGGCATCCCCCCTCTGCCTCCCCAGACACCCCCCGCTTCTGCTTGGCCAAAACTCACCAGCGCCCAACGGCTGCTGGGCTCTTCAGGGATTGTGCCTCATACCAATGATGACAGAGAACGGACCTTGCGAGCGAGGGGCCGCCATGCGGCCACCCTGCCCTGCTGCCCGGGCACGGGCTGGAGCCCTTCTCGCCTGGCCCGCCC